GACCTTCCATTGACTTCCATTCATGTTTTTTAGACTTTATAGCCTAACCCTGACCATATACTCCAAAATTAACCTCACAGAAACTTACCTGACCCTAAAACTAACATAAACCTTGGTCCTAGACCTAACCCCACACCTGTAACATGCATTTGGACTCAGGTCCCCACGATTCACTTTGGTCCCCACCTGGCTGCTTTTTTTGTAAAAAAAAAAATACCCCACGTTGTAGGAAAAACCCGTCCACACACACAGCGGATTGGAGGATGAGCTGCTACTGAGACCTTGCGAGAGCTGTGCGTGAGTAATATGGCGGAAGGTTGGTAAACTTAAACTAAACACGATTCAGTTAAGGTATAAAAAACTGAAATATATTATTATTATTATTATTATTATTTTCATAAATACTAATCTTTGCATCCTTTTTACAATCAAACAAACTGGACGGGGAAGCCTTGGAGAATCTGGAGTGTTATCTGGACGCGTGTTTCGATAAATTCGTGATGGGCAAGAAAAAAACAACCACTCCCTCAAACACGGCCACACCAGTGTCTAAACGTACGCGTTCGGAGAGCTCGGCCAGTATCTCCACTGCTTCTCCAGAAAAAAGCTTCACAGAGGTTCTGGACTCCATTGATAAAAAGCTAACTAGCTTAGATGCCCGACTCGCCCTGGTAGAAGTTCTTCACAGAGAGTTTCAGTCGCTACGAGAGTCCCTGGAATTTAGCCAGGAACAGGTAACAACACTCGCGGCAGAGAACAAAACCCTGAGGGAGAACATGAAACATCTTACCGAGGAGATGACGCAGATGTCCGGAGATAACAGGAAAATGAAGGAAACAATTCTGGATATCCAGGCTCGGGGCATGRGGGACAATCTGGTCTTCTCCGGGATCCCAGAGCGAGCGGAGGAAAACGCTGAAGCCTTGTTTCGGAATTTCATTCAACATCAGCTAAAACTTCCAGACGACGCAGTTAAAGTCATCACATTCCACCGTGTCCACCGACTCAGAGGTAAGCGACCCGGCAACAACAGACCTCGCCCAATTATAGCTAAATTTGAGCATTTCAAACAGAAAGAGCAGGTGAAAAGCCAAGGCAGAGAGCTGCGTGGTACGGATTTTAGTGTAAACGATCAGTTTCCCAAAGAAATCCTCGATCGAAGGCGCGTGTTATTCCCAATCAGGAAGAAAAAGATCAGTGAGGGCGCCAGAGCTACAATAGCTGTAGATAAACTTTACATCAATGGCCAGCTGTTCAGAGACTGTGAGATCACTCTGTGGCTTTATTAGGAACAACATAAAAGTTTAGTAAAACATTTAAAATATAAATAAACATTCACCAATTGTAATTAAATTGTAAAGCACAGCTCAGATGGTGGTTTGCACTTTTGGTGGAGCACGGAGTTATGGTGGTTCTTTTGAGTTTTTCTTATTTTCGTTGTTGCGGCATGCGCACTGCGCGGGCAGGGACGGGGGTGGGCAAGAACAGCTCATGCATGAGACAAACCTCACTTTTGATAGGCTGTTCATAGGGGTGGGCAATATTGTCAAAAAAAATTAATCATGATTAATCGTGGTGTATTGATGCATCTCAGTGTTCTAGGTAAAAAAAAACAAAAAGAAAAAAATTGTGTAAAATTACACAACTTTTTTTTTATGTTGGTCATATCTGAATGAGAGAGGAGCACCAAGCAGTTAGTCTGCCTGGTGGCATTAATTGTATTAATCATCAATTAATCGATTAAT